AGGCCCAGAGCATCTCATTGGTGTTAACACCACCATAGTAAAACAAAACAGAAATCCCAAAATACTCAACCAAACAAACCCAAACAAACAAAAAACACCTACAGCCAAGGTTTTCCCTGCAGCCGTAAACATTGCTGATAGAATTATAGATGGGCTTCACAGAAACCACACCCATGAGTGTATCCAGGATTCAAATTAACACACCACACCTCATGGATACCCAGCCTGGCCCATAGGAAATAGAGTCTTGCCATTAATCAAAGGCCAATAGAGTTGGAGAAGACAGATGCTGCTCCGAAGCAGGCAGACACACAAAGACACAGGAAGAAAAAGCTAGAGAGCATGGTATCTCCAGTGGGATGAAGGGATTTCCCTAGCCCACATTCCTCATCTCAAAGGAATTTAAGCGATTCTTGAAAATGGAATTCAAAATAATGTTCTCATGAGTACTCGGGATACACAAGAGAATCCAGATGAACAGTTCAGTGACATAAAGAAATTCTTAAGCTCTGAATGAGAAACTACAAAAGTCACAGATATCACGAAAAAAGCAACAGGTTTTGTAGATGAAGAAGTCAATGTATGTATTTTTAAAAATATCATTGAGAGTAATAACACCCATCTAGATCAAGCAGAAAAAAAAGAATGCCTGAAATATATATTATAATTTTTAGTGTCAAAAATTGAAGCTAGGTCTTTGCACATGGTGGGTATGTGCTCTACCCTTGAGATGCACTCCCTAAGTCCTGTCTTAGGCACATAAGCCAGTTAGGGATTGTGGAGTGAGAGAATCAAAAATAGGTTTATCTGACAAGACTGCTGATACTCTGATATAGAAATATATATTCTCATTATGGTGATACAAGTGAGAGAAGAGACGAATAGAAAATGTAATTAAGGGCTGGAGAGATGACTCAGCGGTTAAGAACACTGACTGCTCTTCCAGAGGTCCTGAGTTCAAATCCCAGCAACCACATGGTGTCTCATAACCATCTGTAATGGGATCTGATACCCTCTTCTGATGTGTCTGAAGACAGCTATAGTGTACTCATAAAATAAATAAAACAAATCTTTTTTTTAAAAAAAAGAAAGAAAATGTAATTAATAAAACAGTGCAAACCTCCTCAAGCCTGGGAAAGAAACATGGACTCCAGCTCTAAGGAGCTCATAGACTCCCAGAGGCACCCACAAGCACATTCAAAAGGACAGAGGTGAGGGGTCATAAAAGCAGCAAGAAAGCAAATGAGAATGTTTCCTGTAAGGGAGTCTTCCTCAGACTAATAACAGAAGTGTCAGTGGGAACCTTACTGTTCCCCAGAGGATGAGAAGACATGTTCAGACTGCTAAAGGGAAGAAAACAAACAAAAACCCCCAGACACCTGAGAGAGAACATTGTATCCTCTTCAAAGACTGAGGTCAGAAATGAAGTCCTTAGACAAGCAAACTTACCTAATGCTGTGGTTTTGCATGGTCTCACTTCCTTATTACAGCCTCACCTCCCTTAGTTTAGGGATTCCAGGGGTGCCTTCTCAGAAAGACACTTGTTCCATGGATGTGTCAGGGGGAACACTCCATGATGTAAAACCACCTCATAAGGTTCCCGGACAAAGCATACCTCATTCCTGGGTCTGAAAGAACTTTATTGGGTCAGTTGGGTACAAACACATAATGGTTTGATTGCTCGGTGCCTTGAGGCTACTCATGTTCCCACACATGTTCAGGACAAGCCTGAGACACAGTGGGTGTGGACACTCTAAGGTGGGTGGACCGGACCTTGGAGTCTTACTGTTTGTGATCTACTCATAATGAGTGCTTTAGTCTGATTCAAACCACAGGTCACCCCAGGTGGCCTGTTAAAACTTGACCAACAAGAGGACTGTGAATTAAAATTCCCAGAGGGAAGGAAAGTACCTGTCTTAGAGATCCTGCAAGGCTGATTGCCTGATTAGAGTTTTGTGGCTGTTACAGATCTGGAGGTAAATTACTTTGGGTTATCTTTAGCCTTTTTAGTAGCCATTTCTTGCACACCTCTTTGCTTGATCTAATGTTCTTGTGACAAATAGGTTAACACACACACACACACACACACACACACACAGAGAGAGAGAGAGAGAGAGAGAGAGAGAGAGAGAGAGAGAGAGAGAGCATGAAACTGTTTTCATATTAAAATGTCTTTGGGGTGAGTTAACCTGTGTTCCCAGGCCACAGGCACTCACACTTGACTCCAGAATAAACTCCTGTTCCCACTAAGGCGAGATCTGTGCTACTGTGTTAGTGGTTAGAACAATCTGTGCTTGTAAACCCTCACCCAGTCCCTACCAAGGACCGTCAAAAGCTACTGTTTTTCTTCTTTTCCATCATTCTCATGGTGTTTAAAGGACAACTTGGGGCCCTGGCTACTCCCTAGAAAGTCTCATGTATGAGGGTTAACTCCCTGTACCCTAACAAAACAGTAAAAGAAAAAAAAAATTCTCAACAAGATATTGGCAAATCAGATCCAAGAGATCTTGGGAAGGAATGATGGGTAACATAACCACAAGGGACTTTAATGAGCTCTTCAAGGATGGTTCAATATACACCTGTCACTGAACATGATCCATTAACCAATGTAAGGATCAAAATTATATAACTATCTTGGTATATACAGAAAACGCATTTGGTAAGTGCTACTTCCAGTCCCGACTGTCTCCGTTACTGTTCTATCACTGTGAAGACCATAACCAAGGTAACTCTCATAAGAGAAAGCATTTACCTGGAGCTTGCTTACAGTTTCAGAGGTTAGCTTGCTATCATCATGGCCAGAGCATGGTAGGAGGCAGACATGGAACTAGAGAAAGTAGCTGGAAACTACATCCTGATCTACATGCAGAAGAGATACCGAGCCTGGCATGGGCTTTTGAAACCTCAAAGCAGGTGGCGCTGAATGGTCACTCAGAGGCTAAGTCACTTTTTATGGCTAGGGACTATTGTCCTGTACACCCTGACTTAACACTCCTCATGACCTGAGGCTACTACCAAACGTTTCCCAACTTTGGAAGGGTAAAGAGAAGAGAGAGGAGATCGTTTAGGGGGAGGTTTCTTCCAAGAGGAGGGAGGGAGACAGTCTCAGCTTGGAAGGAGCACATCAAGGTGGGATAGGGGCTGGTACTTTTCCGCCATGAAAAATTCAGTGCACTCTGGGAGGTGAAAGCTTGTAGTCTTTGCTGGAGAAACTTCATGAGCCAGCTTAAAGGGCAGGGACCAAGGAGCAAAGTTAGAATAGTCATGAAAATTAGATCTGTCAAGAGGCAATCTATGACCCCAAGCAGTCAGTTATCTGTCAAGCAAGTAGTGGTTTTTTGTTTGTTTGTTCTGTTTGTTTGTTTTTGTTGTTGTTGTTGTTTTCTTTTTTTGGTTGAAGATAACTTTATTTGTATACACCACTATAGGGCCTGGGTACAAAAAAGCGGTAGATTATTTTCCCTACTTTTGTGAGACTCTGTGTTTCTTCCCCAATAAGAAGAAGGGGAAGGAGAAGGAGGAGAAAGATGAGGAAGAAGAAGAGGAGGAGGAAGATGAAGGGGAGGCAGAGGAAGAGGAAGAGAAGAAGGAGGAAAGGGGAAGGGAGGAGGGGGAAGAAGAGAAGGAGGAAGAAGAAGAGGAGGAAGAGGAGATATGTTGTCCAGAGTTGTTAGTTGTACTTTATTTTCCAATTCTTTTATAAATTTTTAAGACTTGTGAGGATTTTATTTTATTCATTTTTAGCTTTTTATTCATTCTTTGTGAGTTTCATATCATGCAGCTCAATCACACTCATCTCCCTGTCCCTTGTCTGTCCTCCACCCTTACGCCCTCTCCCCTTGAAAAGAAAAAAAAAATAAAAAAAAGCTGCAGTACATCACAGCCCCTTCACACCCTCCCGCAGTTCACAGATGGGGTGGATGTTGGGGTGGGTCAACTCCAAGCCCTGGATCTGGGCCTGAGTGGCCGCTGCATCAGTCAGTCCACTAGCTCTTCTCCACCTGCACCACCAGGGCCAGCACTCCTACTCTGTCCAGGAGAGGGTGAGGCCAGCTCACCAGAGTGCCAGAGCCAGCAAGGGGCCAGGTCTCCTGTTCTTATGCCCCCACCCTGGCCAGCTCTTCTATGCCCACTCCACCATGACCAGCACTACCACAGTGCCCATGTAGGCCCACTCTCCTGGTCTCCCATCCTCGGGTCTGACTCTCCTGTGCCAAAGCCAACAGAGCCAGCTCTACGGTACTGCCTAGGTGAGGTATGGGACCGGCTCTCCCTAGTGCAGCATCCTGTAAGGGGCAGAGACAGCTCGTCTGAGCCCTAATCACTGTACAGCCAGAGAGGTGTAGAGCCAGATCTCCAGCACCCAAGCCAGCAGGGCCAATTCTCCTGCACTGCCCGGGTAAAAGGTGGGGCAAGGTGATTCTGGAACATGGGAGGACCTGCTTTTCCTACCCCTTCTTAGGACTTTCTAGATTTATCCATATACAAAAGATACGTAACTAGAGAAGACAGAGGAAGAGGCTTTGTGCCCAGTGGGCTGATTGTCTTGAGAAGGAGAAAGAGGCTAAGACCCAGAGACCTCTCTGTTCATTGGAGGATGTGTGAGTCCTCTCTGGCAGAGAAGAAGTGACAGCAACAGAGGCTGGGGTCCTGTTCCAGTCCTGAGGAGAAAGAGTTCTACCAACTATTTCCTCCAGCCATTCTCAGGAAAGTCCTGGTGAGATGGAGAAGCCAGGCTCAGTGAGATGACACAGTACAACCAGAAGGGGACATGGCCCTCTCCCTTCAGATGTGACATCATGGGAATCTCCTAAACATAGATGCAGGAGATGCTGCGATGCACTGTAACCAGGAGACCCCACACACCTCAGAGGACAGAGGAAGACACAGACACCACGAGGAGAGGGATTTGCTTGTTACACTCAGGCATGGTTGTGTTTAATGTCAGCAAGAAGGGGACACGGCTGGAACAGGGTGGTGAGGGTGACTGGAACTTGAAATCAGTCATTTGTTGTCGGATTGACCACTTTTCCCACAAAGAGGGGGCAATTGGTGTATTCATCCTTAATGACAAATATAAAGGGCCTGTTGAAGTGGATAGATAAGTTTTGAGGAACGTCCCTCTTACTCCAGCTGGTGTTCCATGCAGCTTCCGTCACTTCATCTCCGAAGGTCAGTACAGCCTTGTGCACAGCCTACAAGGGGAGAAGCCAAGGTAGGTTGGAGGGAGGTTGTACCTAACCCAGCCTGAAGCCAGGCCCCATGTGTAAGCCTCATCCATGGAAAGCCTCACTATGGTCATCCCCTACCCGTGGCCCCCTCAACCTGAACCCCAGTGGTCAGTAGAAGCCTTTCCCTCTGTGTTCCTCCCCATCACAGTAAGACTACTCTCCTCTCACCTCAGCTCCTTTCCTGAACCACACACCTTAGGTATGGCTGTCAGCTTCAGAGGGGCCCCTGCTGTACTTCAAGTCTCCTGTAAACATGTTCCTTTTCCTGTGTGTGCTGGGACAAAAGTTTCGAAGGTGAACTGAACCAATGCCTTTCTATATGAATGTAGGGAAGTCGAGTCCCAGGGAATTAGCAACCCTGGGCAAATATAAAATCAACAGTCACCATGTCCCATTCAAGGTGGTCCTTCTGGGAGCTCAGATTCCTTATCCTGCTTTTGCTCCCTGATCCTGCATTCTCCAAGATGCATCTGTAGAGTCTGTGAGAACAACCATGTCTCTGTTCCTCGGCCCCTTCCTCAGCCTCACGTCTCACCTGTCCTCACATTCTGTTCCACCCTCCTGACAGCTGGGATACTGCCGTCACTGTGCGATCTCACCTTGTCGAGCTTCAAGAGAGCATCCTGTGTGACCCCTGAGAGGTCAGCCTCATTGCTGAAGATCTTGGTGATGCCCAGTGTGCCCAGGATGGTCTTCAGATCATAGGTTGTGGTTATAGACAATCTGGGAAAGTACAAGTCTGCAGTCCTGAGGTGTAGGAAAATATGAAGGCGTTATTTTCTGTTGTGATAGCATCAACAGTAGATTGTCTTGTCCTGGCAGCTTTCCGTCAACCTCACCCAGGAAGTCCTCCAGACTTGTTGTGTGTGACTCCCCAGGCTGCGGCTCAGCGGCCAGTTTCCATAGACAAGGTCCATGGAGGGTCTATGCTAAAGGAACAGACCAGGCCCAGGCCTGACACAGGCCATCCTCACCTTGCTTGACTCAGCTTTCTGCTGGCTGCTGGACCTCAGTAGGTGTTGGCCGAGAGGTAAGACAGAACCCCTGTCAACAGTTCACCTCAGGCCCAGCCAAGGTAGAGCAGGGCATGGAGAGTTCCTGACTAATGCACAGGTTTAGTGATCTGGAGCAGGAGAGGAATATTTCAGAACTGTTGGCTTTCTAGGACCCAGTAAATCTCACTGGAGACTGCTGGGAGCAGAGCCTTCTACAGTCATGCTCCCTGTGGCTGGCTCTTTCCTGGTCTAGGCTCTTCCTCTCTTGTCTCCTATGAACTCTTCACCTTGACCTCCTGACTCCTGACTGAGGTTGAGGACTGAGACCTGTCTCTTTGGTTTTGGTTCAGCCATAACATAGGCTGTTGTTGAAAACCCTGTGCTGGCTCTGGATGCTGAGGATAGAGTGTGTCTGTGCCAAGGAGAAGGTGCTATGCTGGGCATCATTTGATCTCTGAGCCTGTCCTACCCTGCAGGAATGAGAGCTGTGCCTGTCTATAAGCTCTGGCTGATGGATGGGGGCCAGTCTTGAAGGACCTCAGTCATGTCATGGTTCAGAGGCTGGCTAGCAGTGTCTGGCTTCCTGGAGTGGGGAAATCACCTTAGATCAATGAGCTGTAAGCTATTTTCAAAGTGTCTTTGATTCAAGGTTTCCTCTAGCTCCCACATCTTCCCTTGGTCAGGCAACATGAAGAAGACAGTAGCATCACCCATATAATGTTGTACCATCACCCAGCTGGACAGATCCAACTCTCGATACAAGAAAAACCGACCCCTCCGATGGACCATGGGCACTCTCACGGTCATGTCCGAGTTCACATAGAAATCCTGTTCCGCAATGTGTTCAACCTCGAAGTCATCATACCATTTGCCTGGAGAGAAAAGAAGGGACACATCAGCCAGTGGTGGGGTCGAGAATTAACTAAGACTTGTGAGACGCTCTTTTAGCCTCAGCTTTATCAGCTGTAACATTGGTTGAGGATGAACCCATTGGGATGTCCGTTGGCCCTTAAAAAAGATAGTCTGCAGCTGTAGGAAGAGAACAGAAGATATAAGTAGGTTAATTTCTGAGAACCTGACTCCAATGAAGAAGCAGCTTTATTCTGTGTTTTTCTAGCAGTGCCCCATGGATGCTAAATGAAGACAAGTGGGCACAATCGCATCTCCTATCTCAAATCTTGGAATCTCTTTTTGGGGTGCTCTTCTGTACCTTGAAAGTGGTACTTAAATAAGCACCCTAGGAAAACCTAGTGGGTACCTTTAAATCTTTGTCTCGGGCCCACAGATAAAGTGTATGTGCCTGGGGAAGACCCTCTCTGGTGCACAAGAGTGTCCCTCATCAAGGCTGTCAGAGTGAGCAGTGTCCTCAGGGAACTCTGAGCCTTCCTAGCGGTGTAGGACAGACACTAAGTCTCCCCTGCATGTATCAGAGCTGGGTCTCCATGGCTGATGTTTCCTTGGTTCTCTGGGCTGCGTTGCTCTGCTGGGAAGCATGGGTAATATGAGAAAGCTGTAGCCATAGCATGGACTCGCCTCCGTCCAACCTTCCTACAGGATACATCCTGGAGGAAGTGAAAGAATATTTGGTCCATGGATTCATGAGGTCCTGACCAGCCAAGCACTCAAAGCAAACAAGCCAGACTGAAAACCAAGGTTATGCAATGAGTTTATTTTTGGCTTCAGCGATTACACATGTTGTTGTTGTTGAAAATTCTGTGCTAGGCTCTGGATGTGTGGATGGGGGGAGTGTGTCTTCACCGAGGAGAAGAAACCTCTCTATTCTGAGCACTGTTCTGTCTTGAGTCTGGCCTACACTGTGCTAATGAGCACTGTGTCTGTCTACAAGTTGAAGACTATTCACTCTTAGCTCTGGCTAAGGGATGGGAGCCAGTCCTGAAGGGTCCCTAGTATGTCATGGATCAGAGGCTGGCTGGAAGTACCTGGCTCCCTGGACTAGGGAGTCATCTTAATAAATAATAATTTCCCAGTTCAGTAGGTGTCAAGGCAAACATTTGTGCTAGTTGACAACAGTGAGACCGTTTACCTGGTGATAAGCTTGTCCACTCTCATCCCAAGCATGTGAATTGGCTGTCATTATATTATGACCAATGAGTTGTGAAGACCATATTTGAACCTAGATCTTAGACACTTCATTGCGGACTCTTTTTTTACTCTAGACTTTACCAAATGAAGTCACCCAAAGAACTATGTGCTCCATGCCATCTGTGGCAGTTTGCATGTATGACTGACAACTGAAGGAATGCCATGTATCTGGTATTCAACTCCCATAGGGATTTCCAGTGAACCTGGATATAACAGTGTAACTGAGTCCTCAAGGAATTAACATTTCCCTAGGAAACCCCATGGAAGGAACGAGACTAGTATTTGAAAGTTCTGGTGTCAGAGGAGGAAGCCATCTTCCAGAGAAGGATTAATCTCAGTTCTGATGTTGTACCTTGAAGCCAAACCCATAATGCTTATATTCCTTGGATTTTATTTCAGTTTTTTTTCCTTGTAAACTGTCATACCACACAGATAAGGCAAAGGAACAATATAGAGATTTATCCTTTCTCCAGATCCGGTCAAGACTGCACATGAACTATTTCCTTCAACCAACCTTGGTTTCTTATTTTCCAGGCAAAGTGATGTTCAATTACCTGATAACATTTTTGGCAAACCAGTCAGAAGAAAGAGGTCCAGAGGAAGAGATTTAGAGTGTCCATGGAGAGCTAGCTCTGTACAATGGGGCACATTTTAGCAGCTTTTGAGTCGTGTCTTACATACAGGGATTTCCCCCATTCCTCATTTATAACATTGGCTGTGAATAAATAAATCTCATTACATTGATAAAGGAAAAACGGTTGATGTTTTTTCCTGGTATCCACAATAAATAGGGCAAAGATACTTACCCCCGAAGACATAGACTGTGATGAAAAACGTGACCCTTGTCAGGGCACTTCACTTCTGGGAGGTTAAGGGATATCTGCTGTAAAGGCCTGTTAGGGTGGACACTCACTCCTAGGAGGGTGGGAAGGTGCACTGTTTTGAGAACCACTCAGTCCATGGCGGGTTGTTTCTAGCAAGCTGAGAGTGGTATCTGCCACAACTTGTAGGGACTTGGGAGTTGGTGGCCCCGTGAATACTTTCCTGGAGTGTGGCCAGGATTGGATAACATATGTTTTCTGCTGTCTGGTTCTTCGTTACAGCCTGTTACCATCATCTGTACATCCTGACTTAGGTTTATCACCATATCCGTCCTAATTCAGTGATTTTTGTTTTTTTGTTTGTTTTTTGAGAATGTTTTCTCCTTTTACTCCATCCCTTGTGGTCTAGACAGTCCGTTTTCATATTCTAGAGTCCTGAAATTTTAACTAGAATACAAAAAGAAGCAAAGGTGCATCCGTGTGGAGGGTGGGGGGCACATCTGTGGGTTAAGTGTCTGTATTGATGCCAGGGCTGAGGAAATCCCTCCCATGTTGTGCTTGGAGGGATCCTTGGTTTGTAAAGTCTCACTTGACCTCTATGTCTCTCACAGTCTTTAGACCATCTTCTCTGATGGTGGCGGGTGGGGGGCTTTCTCAGGCCGAACAGCCACAGAAAACACTCATTGCCTTGTTTGTTGAAGGAGTTGGTCTGAATGGGCATCAAGTCACATCAAGGACCTCCCTGGACAGGCCTGCCCAACAGGGAAGTCATAATTTGTATATATATATATATATATTCTCCAAATAAAATGGTGTTTGAATCTGGGGGGGCGTGTCTATTTTCATGGATGTTTGACTAGATTTGAGTGCAATTACATAATTATCTGCATACATGTGCATATTTGGATACTGTTTACATAGTTCTAAAGAAGCTTGTAGTTAGATGAGTCCTCACATTAAGTAAAGCTGTTAAGGTCTCCCAGAAGCCTTCTACCTTCACATGACTGAGGTAATTTTTTTTTGACAAATCAGTTAATTAAACTCATTGTAGATTAATGGAACATGTTTTGCTTTGCTATAAAAAACAAACTAAAAAATTTTTATGAGAATTGTCTCAAATTATTAAAAAGCAAGAAAAAAGAAAAAACGAGTCACATAAGAGAAAAGATTTAGGGATTTTCATGTACAGGCGTGTGTTTGTTAAAACAGAGTCTCACTGTGTAGCTCAGGCTGGACTGAAGTTCATTATGTGGCCTTGCCTAGCCTGAAGTTTACTATGTAGCTAGGCTGGCCTCGAACTCATAACGACTCACTGGCCTTGTCTCCCAAGGACATGCATGGCTCTGTTTCTGCTCATGCATGTCTGTGTTCAGATGTGCTTGCCCACAGGTACAGGCGGAGGCCAAAGTTTGATTTCAGGATGTCCTCTATTGCCCACCACTCTAATTTAAATTGCAAAATTGTATTTACTTATTTTTACACTTAGGTGTATGTGTCTGTGCTGGCATATATATGTGTGCACATCTCTGTGCATATGAGTGCATGTGTCAGTGGAGGACCGAAGAAGGTGTCAGATCCGCTTGGGGGATAGTAACAGGTGACTGTGAGCTGCCCAATGTGAAAGCTGGGGCCCTAACTTTGCTTCTCTGCAAGAATTAAGCAGGGCCCCCAGATTCTTTTTATCTCCGTCCTCCATTGCTGGGATTATGGTCAGTTGGGTGCAGTGATGCCCAATGTTTACCCGAGTGCTAAGGTTGCAAACTCAGATCCTCACTGTGGCATTTTGCCCACGGAGCCATGGCTCTTGTGATATAGTGGACTTTCATTATTGAGAAAAACATTATTGACCTAAAAAATAATGTGTCTGTTTTAGTGTCGTTTAAATGTTTACCTTATAATGCTGGTTAAACTAACACCTATTGTTTAGGTTACTGTATTATGTTTGGCTTAGAGGTAGATGTAATCAGATATTTCTAATATATTTATCTATCATCTATCTATCTATCATCTATCTATCATCTATCCATCTATCTATCTATCTGTGCCTAACACTTAATATGTTATATATATATAAGCTTTGTCTAAATATTATAGAAAATTCATAAAGGTTCATAGGTTAATACACACAAGATAATAAATCAGTGTTGCCCCTATATTTTAATTTCACAAGATGGTCAATAAAGTTCTTGGTTATTTCTTCCATCTGAACTCAATACCATTCCTGTAGGAGGCCCCATAATTTGAGAGGTTTGTTGTTTAAACCTTTTTCTGATCAATTTGCTTCAACTCAGCCAAGCAATTTTTCTGTTGTTTATACGAGACACGGTCTCCTACTTCAGATAGAAAATCTACTCAAGGCCACTCAGACTGTTAATCCTGTCCAGAATCTTAATCCTGTCCAAAGTCTGAAACTTTCAAGCTATTAAATTTCACTTGAATAATAAAATATAAATTAGTATTAAAAATCGCTAATTATTACTGGTCTCTTTGTGCATTTCTGTTCTACCAACATGGAAAGCTCCAAGAACTCAAAGTTTAGGACAACACTTGCCTACGCTACTATCATCTAAACTAAAACTTGTTCTAATGACAGCCTTTTCAGCCTTACACATGACTTTGGTTCTACTCTGATCATTGTTTGGATCACAGACAAGCAGCTGCACCTGAGAACTGTACTCCCGTCAGCCACACTAGTAATTAAAACCACTGGACACTGGTTACTTCTGAAGTCCTAATGTAATACTGTAGGCAATAAAGAATAGATTGGTTTGGAAATTGCTAAACTTTCTTTAGAGTTAGTTTGTAATTCCTTAGAAATCTGTGGATATTCTGTGGGAGAATAGTTTGTAATGAAAATGCCCTAAACAGGTGGCACTCTGAGGGGCTGGCACAGCCACTCAGTGATGAATAAAACCAAATTAAATTAAAAATGGACTCCTGGAAAATTCAGCCTAAGCGCTCCTCCTTCTAGCCAAAAATGTCACCAGGAATTGACTCCTTGATTTCCTTCTATGTCCTTCCCACTGCAGGATCAGATCAGACCAACCAGGACAGATCTCACCTTGGTAGTGACAGCTAAGGCAACTGAAGTCAAACCATAGTATGATAAACTAGCTCAGAGAAAATGGTTTGGAGACAAAGGGAAAGAAACTGTGAGAAGAAAAAATGGAGTCATGACAGACCTCATGGTACACCAACCCAGATGATCATGGGTTTCAAGTAAGCCTGGATGATACAGTGAGACCCTGTTTAAACATAAACCAAACCAAACAAGAAAACAACAACAAAAAAATCTAACATATAAAGTGGAATCACTTGTGTAACAAGTGAGTCTAAGGAAAAAGATCCTCTGAAAGATGTTAGGACCTTGGTTTCTAGTAGTCTGCTAAAGGCTGTTTTAAAATACAGGTGTATCTAGAGAATTTCCACACAGGTTCAACAACAGATGGGATAATACCCCAAGACCCTTAAGACCGAGGGAAGAAAGAATTGTTGTCATGAAACTGGGATCCTACGCAATTAAAATATCTCTAGGACACCCCTCCTGGGAGGGAGACAAACTCATAGCCCTGGCAGCTAAGGAAGAAGCCATGTTCTACGAAAGGGTCATTTTATCACAGTTCTGACAGTGACCTCACAGTTAACTCTACACATGTGTAGTTTGGGGCTTTGGTATCATCCATCCTTTCTATGAATCATAACAATGTTACAGGCAAAGCAGAGAGAGAAGTTTTTCTCCCCCTAGTTCTAATTCAAACTGTTAAAAAGAATTCTTTTTATCAATTCCCATCTCTTAGTTTTCCAGTAGAGTTGTGAGTGCTGTATCCCAGTACCATTAGGACAATGATGATTGTAACTCAAAGATGATGTTCTGGCTGGCTTTACCCCATCTCTCCACCTTTAGGTTTATAGATGCTCTGAATTATTTCTGAGTGAGGAATTGAAAACCACACTGGGATACTCTACCCTGCTGCATTCTGGGATGTCAAGGAAGGATTTAGTACAGGGGCATGAGCACACATTCACGTGGCTTCCTTGAGCCTAAGCCTGGTGGTCCCACCTTACCTTGGAAGAAGATGTAATTCATCAAGGCAAAAGCTGTATCTGCCTCCATCTCCTTGACGAATCCTGCTATTTTCCCTTGGGTTTCTCTCTCTACATACGCATTGATCTGGTTTTGGGCTCTTTGGGTGTCATTGAAGTTGAGAGCAATGACCTTTGAGTGGTACAGGCTGTTGACATCCTCCACAAACCTGTCTTTAAGCTTCAGGTTCTTGTCAATGAATAGGCTGCTGTCCATTGCCAGCTGTTCTTTGTGGTCTGGCTGATGGAAGATATATGTAAGTTGCTGAAAGCATTCATGGATTAAATTCTCAGGTGTTTCTGTCAGGTTGAAGTTCAGTCCCTCCAGGATCTGGTCATGGGTGTTCTTCTTTGCCCCCAGGGAGAGCATTAAAGAGGAAGCAAAAATACTCAGCGGTGAGAATAAGATGTTGGTATGTTTTGTCCAGTTATTAGACTTATGATACAAGCTGAAGGCTACCTGGATGATGATGTAGGAGACGCGGTAGCAGGGCAGATGCTCCTTATGGTCATGGTCATGTTCATCCACATCCATCTCCAGGGGATCTTGAGGCTGGGAGCCAGAGAAAAGGCAACACAGGCTTGCTAGCAAAACGACTCCCTCTGAGACAGAGGATGGCATTGTCCTGCATGACAGAGATGGGGACACAAATACTAAGTCAGGGCCTGTGACAATTTCTACACATAAAAGCAGTGACATCCATGTGCTTCGCTGTTCCAATTATTCTATATAAGACCATTTGCTTTAATGAATGGTTTTTTTCTTCTTCAAAAACCCCTTAGAGTCCAATCTGTAGTATGAATTCTTGGGAGGGGGACAGGCTTAATCTAATGATTGTGTTTAGAATGGGGGCCTGAAGGGATATTGGGATTAGATAAGGTCACTAGGGCAAAACCATTATTGAATACTAGCGACTGTGTAGTGAAAGAAGCAAGGCAGAGGGGACACAGGTACATTTCTTATCTCTTGCTGTTTGATGACTTGCACCACAAGAATGCCTGCAAGGACGCTTGACCGTGAAGCAGAATTGTAGGCCAGTATTAATCTCTATTATGATACCTTACCTAGTTTATCTAATTGATAACAGAAAATATCCCTCCCGATTTGCACTGTCTAGAACTGTCATGGGTCTGAACTCTGCCTTCTTGTCACTGTTCTGTGGGGCAATGACTACTACCCTCCAGTTACTGATGAGGAATCCAAGGCCCAGAGAGATTAAGGTTCATGTTCAAGATCAGTGTCTTAGTTATTTTTCTGTTACTGTGATGAAATACTCTGAAAAAAAAAGCAACTTAATGTTGTAAAGGTTTATTGTAGATCACAGCTCAATGTACAGTCAGTCTATCATGGTGGGGAAGTCAAGGCGGTAGGAACTTGAAGCGGCTGGTCACATTGCATGCACCATCAGAAGGAAGGACCAATGAATGTGTACATGTTAGTGATCCTGTTTCTCCCCGCCTTGTCCAGTCCAAAATTTCTGGCCTATGGAATGGTGCTGCCCACAGTGGATGACCTCAATGAACACAATCAAGGATAATACTCACAGACAAGCTCATCATGGAAGGGTGCTACCCACAATGGATGGCCTCAATTAACGTAATCAAAATAATCTCCACAGACAAGTTCATGGGTCAACCCAGTCTAGATAATTCCTCACTGAAACTCCTGTGCCAAGTGACTTTTAGGTTGTTTTCACAAGTTGACAATTAGCACAAACCATCACAGTCACTCGCTAGGCTTCATAGCAGTCAAGGGTGGCTTCCACTTGTTCTCATGTAATTTGCAGAGAAACTATTGGCCAAAGAGGCTAGATTTTTCCCACAACACACAGCCAGAGCTCAGAGCAGCTGTGATAAAAACCTAATCAAAGTCTCTGCCAGGCTTCTCAGATGGCATGTATTTCCTTTTCTCCCAGTTATCATACGGTAGACCACTTGAGCATAGATCTTCCTTCCTTCCTTCCTTCCTTCCTTCCTTCCTTCCTTCCTTCCTTCCTTCCTTCCTTC